AACCCATTGTTATTTTTTCTTCAGCTGTAATTAAAATACCATAAAGAAGGTACTTCTTCTTTTTAAGTCAGAGCAAAACAGCAATCAGCACGTTTTTCAAAGAATTGTTTTATGGTATTTTAAACACAATTGTTATCTTCTAAGAATTACATTTACAATTTAAGTATCGTTTGTATAATTTAAAGTGTTTTTGTACCTTTAAAGGCATTAGTCTCAACATTAAACCATTGAGAAAATCCAGTCAGCAAATTATTTTAGCTAATTGCATACTGAATGGTAAAAAATAAAGTGTCATAAATTAGATTTTTTTATTAATTTATTAAAGGTATTTCAAGGAAAATTGTTTTATCCAATGTGTAAACTCAAGTAAAAGATGGGATAGAAAGAAGATACTGTGTGTGATAAAATGCTTTGCTCTTGAATGAATTTCTTTTTAAGAGTGACACACTTGACCACATGAGTTGAGCTCAGAGGAGGTGCTGACAGACATAACAGATTATTCCTAATTAGCCCAGTTAATTACAGTTAATAAACAAATCCTCTCATAGAACATATCACACAGACACTGAAGTTTTGAACACACTGAACACATTTCCCCTCAAGTGATCTCATTCAAGATTTTACAAAAATTAAGACCTGGCTAAAGATTATACAGAAACTTACATTTAAAACTTGTTATATCAAAACAAAGAGCAAAGCTGTGAGTAAACTTCACTACATATTTGAAAAAGGAATAGAAGTTGAGTCTCCTTTAGTTTGTGCAGTTAGGCTACGTTCACACTGCAGGCGAAAGCGCATCAAATCTGATTTTTTTTTTTTTGACCCTATGCGACCCATATCCGATCATGGTATGACAGAGTGAACAGCACAAATCCGATATTTTCAAATGCGATCTGGGTCACTTTCGTATGTGGTACTGAATCCGATACATATCCGATGTTTTAGAAAGCAACTGCTGTTTGACGGTCATGTTGCATTAAATCCGTCTTTTACGTCACTGACACAAGACAGACGCCAATTATCAGCTCCGGAGAAGACATCGCGAACGCTTCCTGGCCATCCAGTGTAGATGTTAGTGAAACTGTTGGGAAGGCAACGTTGGAGAAACGTGAACATTTTATTTGTACTGTATAATCTGCAGATTCTGACAGAAATCTGCAACTATCCTTTGAAGCACCGCTCCTCTAAAACAGCAATAAGGATAATTATTAGGCCATATGTAAATAACAAAATAACTTTAACTTAAAGAAAAATTGGGAACCGTAAAGTTTGAAACAAGTCTTTATATTAACGGCCATCAGTCAAACAATACTGTTTGCTCTGGGTCTAAACAGACCGCGTTGTGTGTGACATGCGGGCCGCTTTGAGCGTTCACACTAGAGCGCGTTTGCTGTCGCATTTTATTTGTAGTGTGAACAAGCAGACAAAAAAATCGGATTTGATCAAAAAATCGGAATTGAGCATTGAGACCTGCAGTGTGAACGTAGTTTGCAGTTAGTCTGGTTGTGACAGAAACCAATTAGTAGCTGTTAACAGAGAAGAATCAATGTATTGAAAACAGTTGATGGTGAAGTCGTTTTTATCTTTCAGTCTCCTGACACAAACGGATGCAACCACAAAGACTATAAAGCTCCTGATTTCAGCTGATTTGCATCCGCAGGACTGAGTTTTTATCTTCTGACTTTTAGCAACGCATTTGGAAACAGCCTAGAGTTTGCACATGAAATCCAATCATAAACTGATTTCATTTTCAGTGCAAGCAGTCCTGTTACAGAAGAGATCACAGTTCAGGGGAAATTGGAGTCCAAGTCAACAACTCAAACTCATTGCTGTGCTACTAAAACCATTGATGGAGCTGGTTCAGAAGAAAAATGCTGTGACTGCTATGATCAGGATTGTAAACGAGAATTCAGGAGAGTGATGGCTTGTACCAAAATAGCTTAATACCTATCTATAATCACTAATTACACGAGGCTAAATCATTAAGTCACTCATCACTGCATGATTCAGTGTTGTCCCTCTGGTAAAGCTAAAGTTACTTTTTCCTCATCCTCAAAGTCGGAAATAAAGTCCCTGGTGTCTCTCTCATCAGTCTGTACAAGTGAGAACTGCACCTACGCAGTTCTGCTCTTTCATCTGTGCCACACAGCATGTGTTATAGTGGATGGATAGTGCCAAATTAATGAAGTGCAAAGATGACACCCATCCTCTTGGGCTTTACCACTGTTAGCTAGAAAGGCTCTTTGCATTTTTATTACACACAATACAGTTCCATCAGTCTTTAGAATAAGAAGGTTTGATACTCACATACCACTCAACACTCATGTTGGTACAATTTAGTCTTTCAGCACTTTACAGCACTGACAAAGATACTATACACACACACACACACACACACACACAAGACTGCTGACCTGCCAACTCAGCTGTTTTGCCTGTGTGATGATGCAGCTCCAAAACTCAATCTGGAACTTCTAATAAAACCTTTTGAGATCTGCCCGACAGCAGCAGCCTGATCAAAGCTCAGGTAACATTATCAGGGAAGCAGTTGGTACACTGCAGCTTCTTCTAAAATGCTGACATTGCCTTGTGCTGTTTTACTTCTATCTCCAGCTGGAGGTACTCTGTTTGTTTGTACTTAGCCAAACACCTCCACAAATGCTGTTTTGCGTGTCAGACAAGTTTTTAAAGGATTTAGCCGATAGTGCACCTCTGCTGAGTGTCTCCCTGCTTAATAAGTCCTGATTCAGGGCTTCTCATGTAACAAACAGCTGCATGAGACATGGAACGAGAACAAAAACTCATTTCAGATCAGATTCACTATCAGTTAATGAGTCCAAATTTTATGCAATCATTTTGTTTGTCTTTCTTTGTCTTAATAAATTCCTTATTCTTAATTTTTGGGTGAGAGTTTAGTTCACTGGGTGAGCAGGTACAATATGCCTTAAGGCCAAAGTAGAAGTGGCCCAGGCTGAGTCTGGGGCCTTTTGTTGTGTGCATCCCCCTGCTCTCTCCTCCTCTTTCCTGTCTGCACTCCTGGTTAGGAGTGTTGCGTGCTAATGGCAGTCCCAAGCAGATTTCTTCTGTTTGTCTTTTGGGATAAAAAGCAAACTGTTGTCTTTTCCTATGTAAGGTTGTTTTTTTAACTAGTGTTTTCCCAAATCTGGGACTTTGCAGGATTATCATGGTTTTATCTGAGGTATTCAAAACAAGTCAGCTGGTCTGAGCCTTAAAAAGAAAAAAAAAACCCAACATCACCACCAACAAAAAACAATATCAATATATCAAACTTTTCTTTCATAATTTTTTTTTAATATAAATTGAAAAAAATGTCATTAAAAGCATGAAATATAAAAATGTACTTTTCATAAATTGCCACTTGCAGCTGTGTTTTGCAAGATTAAGATTTTATTAGTGTGTACTCAAATATTGGACCTTGCACGGCTGCAAATTTCTGAACACATTTCCTAAAATCAGGGAATGTAACAAATGGAAAGTACCTGTTTTTTATTTCCTGTTTTAGTCCTCTGAAATCAGAGTGAGTGCAGGAAAACATTAGATTTCCATGATGTTACTTTAGGCTGCCACTTTAGGGAGAAGATTACTGCATGTGTTCTGGTATGAAGAAACAAGTGTTTATAAGGCAAAAACGTGTTTTCTTTAATTTGTGTATTGAGAACATCATCAAGGAAGTAAATTATTAGTTTTTCCCAGTGAAATCTGCTTTGGATAAAATCATACATCAGCTTCAAACTACTAAAGTATTTAAAAAAAAGGAAACTATGTCTTCAACCCATAGCTGGGTCACAGAGGTAAATGAAAATATATGATTAAGAAGAAAAGGAAAGGAATGATTTGTGATTTGTGTATCCTATCTATTAATGTCACATATGTGATGGTCTTCTCATGCAATAGTGTTATGGGCTATTGGTGCAATGGTGCATTGTGTGAATAACTGTCATTGTAAGGAAGATACATTGATAATGACAAAGACAAAGATACCTGTACATTTCTTGGGACTGCCAGGTCTCTTGCCATGCATGCCCAGTTTACAGCCAAAGTTTTCCTCCCAGAACTCAGCAAACCATATGTTCCTGCGGTTATTGGACAAAGAGCGACTCTTGAAGTAACGGTCAAATGCTACCAAAAGAAGGAAAACATCATTAAAATCAGGATTTCTTTCAAAACATTCTGAAAATCTGGTCACGTCAAGGTTGTTTCTGGCCTCACCATCCACAGATGCCCTCTTAGGAAGGATGGTGATGGCGCCTTCGGCTACCCGCTCCTGCTGGACTACCGGAGAGATTTTGGACCCCCAGCTGTCGGATCCCACCCACAGGAAGTGACCTGTCAGATTGTTGCTTTTTGCTGCATCCAGGATTCTCCTTTTAGCATCACAGGTGACAGATGAGACAGTCAAAGGGGAGAAGAGGGAGCCAATTCTCATTCAATATTTTATTCGTATGTAGCATGAACATGCAGCATAAAAAGACATCAAGAAAGTATACACACAAGACATACACAACTAAAGCACCACAAAACAAGACGCTGCAGATCTTTCATGCTTGATGCCTAAAAACTGTCTTCATCCAAACTAAAACTACTAAAAAAAACAAAACAAAAAACGATTCCCTCTACTCGGAAATAAAAGAATTTCCCAGATGAAGCTGTTTGTTCAACAACCATTGTTATTAATGTAATTTACTGGTTAATTAAATTGTTATTTTACAAAGAAAGAAATGAGGAAATAATGTTTGTAGTTAATTATTAACAGAATAATTTAAGTTTATTTATTTAAATTTTTTGTGTAATAAAATAATTGCTTTATGAATTATTTAATGTATGGCAGCTGGTAAGTAACAACACTCCAAACCCTTTTAACATACTAGATAGCGTACATCCTCCATACATCCTATAACTGCTTATTTAGTTCAGATTTGTGCTGGAGTCTACTGCAGCCCCCACACCATCTGGTTTCCCATCTTTCTTAGACTGGTAACTGGTCCATGGTGTACTTCCACACTACCACAAAGTAGAAAAGCACGGTTGTCTACTGTGCAAACTGCAAACCAGCAGCCAATTATGCCCTACAAGGATTTGTGAAGCCTGGCAGCACGACCCAATCTCCTCTGAAAAAGACCAGCATACTCACGCCAGGTAAAAAGGTGGCAAATGCTGGTAGACCTCAGGAAAGACCTGGTCTTTATGAGAAAGGTCTTGACAACCACTCTCTGATCTGATTTCGCCATGTGGTAAAACCAACAACCTTTATTTGTCACATACACAATTATACAGAGTACAACATGTAGTGAAGTCTGAGCTGCCAACAGGCTGCAGACCTAGCCGCGCCCATTGCAGGGCTTGGTTTTTTAGCATGGGGACCGGGACTAGCCAGGACCCTTACTGGATAACGGGTGGGAATTGAACTTGTGACTCCCGCTCCAAATGTGTGTAGTCATACCACTACACTATCCAGCTGCAGGTACATAGTGGAGAAGAGGGTTCTGCTCATTGAGCTGACCATCACTTGGGAGGGGGGAGTGACAGCAGCCCATGAAAGGAAATTTGTCAGTTTTTGGCGGTATGCCTCTTTCTGTCATGAATCAGCTGTGGCAGGCAAGATGTAGGGCCCAGAATGAAGGACACTCAGACAGAAGAGTAAACTCAAAGAGGCTGCTTTTATTCCAGTAGCAGAAAAAACTCCATAAACGATAAACTTCCAAAAACCAAAACTAAACTAGAAATACTAAACACTAAGAAACCTGGAGACAAGGCACACAGAGGGAAAACCAAACAGCATGAGGGGACGACACGACACTGACTGAGAGAAACACAGGGCTAAAATACACTGAGGGATAACAGGGGAATGGGACACAGGAGGAGAGCACACCTGGGAGTAATCAAACACAATAAGACCAGAGGAAGCCAAACTAGACAACAAAGTAAAACAGGAAACACAACCCATAGACGCGGGTTTGACAAGGAGAGACAGTTGACAGGGGGACACAGAGCATCCATGGAACACAGAGAGAAAAACCAGAATACTAAGAACGCTAACATAGAAACCAAAATACTAGAAATAATAAATACTGACAAAATCAATGTTCAATAATAATGCAAACTCGAAACACTGGGTCACTGACCCATGACCGTGACACATTCATGCATCATTTCGATAGAGGATACACACGTGCATCCTCAGTGATAGCTCTTCCATTAAGCTTTTGTCTCTTTTTCTAAGTTTTAGACTCTTCCAGTACTTTTGTTTTTCATGTTTGTCCTGAATCAGCTTAAAATTAAACCTGACTTTTTGTTTGTTATCCCTGCTTATCAAAAAGACGAGCTTCAGGCTCTTATTAAGATTTAGATCTGCAATTAGTGAATGGGTAAGACATTTTCACGTCCTACTCATGTTAATGCACATGTAAAAATAATTTATTTTATACTAATGGCTGGCCCAGTTATGTGAACACATTCCTACAGTCATACTCAAGTCTTTCATCATGTTTAAGTAAAGAAATTCTTTGAACATTTACAGTATAGTTTTTCCCCTTTTTTGTACTAGTAGTATCATAAAATCATATAATCATAATAAATTATAAATTAAATTGGATCTTGCAATACATGTTAGATGCACAAGAAATAACCTTTTTTTTTTTTTTACCGAATGTCGTCTTCATTGGCGAACATGATGACAGCGCGGGCATTGGGTGTCTCCACTAAACGGAGGATTATCTTATCAAACTCTCCAGGTCTTGGCTCACGAGGAATTTTCAGAGATTGAGCAATGCACACCCCTCCTGAGAGTGACAGAGGGAGAAAAAACAAATATTTAATAAACAAGACTGAGACTGCTAGGGCTAGCCTCATTTTAACCTTCTGAGGTGGTAATTATTACAAAACAATTCTATTACAGTCTTAAAGTCTACTCATGTATACTCATATAAGGACATGATGTGTGTGTTTTTAACTCTGTCCTGTCTGGCAGCTTTCGCAATTAGAGTTATGATCTGAATACACTGCTGTGTACTCTTTGCTTGTCAAAGATGAGCTCAACAAATTCTATATAGGCTCCTCTTGTTCGTGTGCTACTTTTATCTTTTTAGTTAATCATTTCTTTTTAGTGTTATTTCATTTATTATTTTATATGTGTTGTATGGCAATGTGAACAAAATGAAAGAGAAAAGAATAATAATAGGAAGAGGAGAGAAAATAGGGGAAAATGTAATAAAAAAAATAAAAAATGTAATAAAACAAAGGAGCACAAACAGAAAAGAATGATGATTCGCCAACTATCGCACCTATACAACCCAAATAAATTTGGGTTGTATAGGTGCTGATACTCACACATGACAGCACATGAATCATCACACTTTTATCTGCTGTCAGTGAAACAAAGGTCAGCTGTGCTCATCGAGGCATCAAGGCATTAAGATAAGATTATTAATAACATCGAATTCATGATAATGCACCAGTGTGATTCTGCATTTCCTTTTATTAATACATCTTAGATTATTTGTGAATCATTTAACATCCCTTGAATCATCCTTAAAATTTGTTTAAAGATTTCTTACATTTATTTTTTCATGTATGATTTTTAATTTGTTTTTTTTACTCTTTCAGTCTGGATACTGCAGGCGGGAAGACCTGGGTCATGAATAAGTCTTCCCGCATGACAGCGACCCAGAACCCACTGCTAAGGCAACAAAGGAATGGCTATAGAAGAAGCACATTAAGGGCACTGAGTGGCGTAGTAGTCAGTCTCCAGGCCTCAGTCCTATAATAATCTGTGGAGGGAACTGAAGCTTGGAGTTACTTAGTGGCAGCCAAGAAAACGAAACAATATTTTTGATAGATTACTCAGTGATTAATTCCAGCTCAGTAGGGGTGCAATGATCAGCTGCATGTGTGATACTGTGAGATTTATCTACAGCCAAGCAAACAAATATGGAGAATAAATAATAAACTCACTTGAATGTATCAGTTCCTTCAAATCATTATTATCTGTACTTTATATTAAATTAAATAGTTGTTTCCCATACCTTCTTAAACAAAGACTTGTTAAACAATCTGAAGAGAGAGGAATGGTGGCACCTGTTAAAGCTAAGCTCAGAGGCTGCAGAGAGAAAGGTGGAGATAAAACATTTAAGACTCTGCTGCCATCATCATTACCAACAAGTTGAAAGGGCATTTACTCTTTCTCCCAAGACACTGCTTCAATCAGACTAAAACCTCCATTCTTAACTCAGTTCTGCACTACACAGACCCATCAGCACATCAGATTGGGGATGCTGTCGGTAATTTAAGGAATTATGTTTTCGAGGGGTTTAAAGGTCATGGTACTGTCAGTGTCACTGCAGATGCTCCATCTCACATTTTAGTGAGAGCACATCTTGTCATTCAACTAAAATCTGCTTTTCTTCACACTTGAATAAAATTGAGAATTTGTTAACAACAGTTGTTTTTGTTTCCAATTTTTCTTTACATGTAATCTGTATTCTTCTGCCATGATAACAACTACAGAAATGTCATTTTAAGTTAAAAGAACTATTCAGCATGAAAGTATGCTGTTCAGTGAAGTTAACTAGTGCTCATTTGAATACAAAAAAACAAGAGCTGGTATGAGCATGTAATAATGTTCACTACATTGTAAGCTCCTAATATTTCAATGTGAAAATTTAGATAAGACACCGATTCTGTTCATAATTTTTATGGACAGGATATCTAGGCGTAACCAAGTGGCGGAAGACTTTCACTTGGGTGGTCTCAGAATATCATCTATGCTTTTCACAGATGATGTGGTTCTGTTGGTTTCATCGGGTGATGGCCTCCAGCTTGTCTTGGAACGGTTCGCAGCCGAGTGTGAAGCGGTGGGAATGAGAATCAGCACCTCCAAATCTGAGGCCATGGTCCTCAGCTGGAAAAGGGTGGAGTGCCCACTCCGCATTGGGGACGAGTTCCTGCCCCAAGTGGAGGAGTTTAAGTGTCTTTGGATCTTGTTCATGAGTGACGGGAGAAAGGAGCGGGAGATTGACAGACAGATTGTTGCTGCGGCCGCAGCAATGCGGACGCTGTCCCGGTCTGTTGTGGTGAAGAGAGAGCTGAGCGTAAAAGCGAAGCTCTCAATTTACCAGTCGATCTACATCTGTACCCCCACCTATGGTCACGAGCTTTGAGTAGTGGCCAAAAGAACGAGATTGCAGATACAAGCGGCAGAAATGAGCTTCCTCTGAAAGGTGGCTGGCCTCTCCCTTAGAGATAGGGTGAGAAGTTCAACCATCCGGGACAGGCTCAGAGTAGAGCCGCTGCTCCTTCACATTGAAACAAGCCAGTTGAGGTGGTTCGGGCATCTGACAAGGTTGCCTGCTAGGCGCCTCCTGGGTGAGGTGTTCCGGCATGCCCCACCGGGAGGAGGCCTCGGGCAGATCCAGAACACGCTGGAGAAATTATCCGGGGGAACGCCTTGGTTCAAGGCCAAGCCTTTCTGCAGCACTCTATCCATCAGGTTTGTATGGTAGAGTGGCCAGATAGATGCCACTTGTAAAGGGGACATGACAGCCCACCGGGAGTTTGTCAAAAGGCAACCGAAGCACTCTAAGGCGATGAAAAACAAAATTCTCTGGTGTGATGAAACAAAGGCTGAACTTTTTGGCCTGAAAACCAAGTGTCATGTCTGGAGGAAACCAGGCAGCGCTCATCATCTGGCCAATGCCATCCCTACAGAGAAGCATAATGGTGGTGACAGCATCATGCTGTGGGGATGTTTTTGGCAACAAGAACTGGTCAGTGTCAAGGGAATGATGAAGCAGTAATGTACAGAGACATCCTTGATGACAACCTGCTCCAGAGTACTCTGGAGCAGGTTGTCATCAAGGATGTCTCTGTACTGGGGTGAGGATTGGACTGGGGTGAGGATTCATCTTCCAGCAGGACATGACCCTAAGCACACAGCTAAGATAATAAACGAGTGGCTGCAGGACCACTCTGGAACACCAGCCTGATGGAGCTTTTGAACTTCTGCAAAGAAAATGGGAGCTTTGAGGCTATAATTGCTGCCAAAGATGCTTCAAAAAAGTAATGAGCAAAAGCTGTGTTTACTTATCTACATGTTATATTTTTTAATTTTTATTAAATTTGCAAGAATATTAATTTCCATTTCCTGCATAACAGGAAGAACTAGTACATTAATTGGGACTACTTTCATTAATCTACAGTTGACGCTGTGAAAAAATAGTAAGTAAAAAATAAACAACAGCATGTGTGTTCATGATGAGAAAAAGAGAATTATTTTATTAATGTCTGAGTTTTGAAAATTATAACTTCAGACATCACTTAAATCTTTTTCATTTTTTGCTGCTCCTTGCATTCTATATACTGAAATATGAATTGTGATATGTGAAAAACAATCTACGAATTGCATCTAATATCAGCAGTCACTGTAAACAGTAATTGCTATTGCCATAATACGTCTTTACATTACAGCTACTGTGTGTAATATAATATGACGTTGTAAGATGCTCATCAGTGTTGGATTCATAAGAATGTGGAGGCGTTTCACATTATTCTTTACAGACATCAGTAATGAACAGAGGTGACCTTCACTCTCCCTAATCTCTCAATAAACCTCTGAGCTGATTTTATCTCTCAACACAAGAGAAACCCAAACTCTAACATGAACAGAATATATGTGGCCAGGGCCTTTCATTGCTTCCAGTCTTTTTTATCCACCTCTTTTCTGTATGAAATGGTGAACGAGCTGCATTCATGTAACACTTCTAGTCTAATTATTTGCTGAAAGTTCTTTATACTACAGAGACAATTCACCCATTTATGCGCGCAATTGCTTTTTCTTTAAGGTCATGCTCTGATGGTGAATTAGAAGCAAGTTTTGGGTTCAGTACCTTTCATAGAATGTGATGCAGCTCTGAACAGTTTAATAATAACAACAGTTTACAATAGCAGCAAAAACAAAGATGAAATGTAACTGACTGTCAACACTTATGCAAAACGCATGTTTTGGATTTATTAGTTATAGTCTCACTATCTAATTCTATTACTTAGGATCTTATCAGTACTGATAAGAGCACCAGAAATATGTTAATTAGCACTATATTTCTTTTTTAGTATTGTATAGTTACAGCATTATTGAGCTCTTCGTGGTTTACTTAAATGCAAAATGTTTTCCTCAACCCTGTCATTTTTAGAAGTGTATATGTGAATTGTCTGATGTGAGATTTGTGAGCTTTTAACCTTTTTTCAATATATCATTCAGGTTATTTGAGGGAGTATGACATTTCAGATTATTTCACAGTCATCAATCATTAGTTAAACTCTGGTTCTCTTCCACAGTGTGTCTTTTGTTGTGTCTTACTCCCGTCAGCCCCAACTGGTCATAGCAGATGGCGGCCCGTCCCTGAGCCTGGTTCTACTGGAGTTAATTTTTTTGTTAAAAGGGGGTTTTTCCTTCCCACTGTCACCAACTGCTAACTTGTAGGTCTCATCTGACTGATGAGATTTTCTCTCTATTATTGTATTGTTACAATATAAAGCACTTTGAAGTGACATTTTGTTGTGATTTGGCAAGATACAATCTAAATAAATTGTAATTAAATCAAAATGAACTGCACTGAATAGAATAGAATTGAACTGAATTGTATTGAATGCATCACAGTGATGTAGAGTTGCTATGTAAGTAGCAGCTGTCTAGTGCAAACTGATCAGTTTTAATGTGTTGAGAGTGAAATTTCATGTAGCTGTACACACTTTGAAGCTGTGCTGAGTCCAACAGGCATTCACCGTT